ACCAGAGACGTAGATGATTTCTTCATAAGCACCACTTACGCTACCTCAGCACCAAAGCTGCCTGTAGACAGATGTTCTGAATTTGAATTTGAATTAGAATTTCTTGTCATGTGTCAAGCGGAAGCCCACCACCCAGGCACCTTAGCTGGACTGGGACAGTAGTAAGGCTGGTGCGCTCAAGGTGGCTCCCGCCAGAGAAGGAACAAGCGAAAAGGAGCTTTTGGTGGAAGGGGATGAGTACACCCTTCAAGCAACAGGCTTTGTAGAAGTAGGGCGCCCCAGCCTTAGGCCCACATCTGCCACCCCACTGTCTTGTGCTCACACAGAGCTGCCCTCTTCAGGTGGAAGTAAATCCACTGCAAGCCTCTGGTGTTTCGATGTAGAGACCCAATAAGAAAGTGATCCACAATCACATGGTTCCATTCTAATAAAAGGTAAATGTATGTCAGGGGCTATGACAGATATAAATGGGGTTGGAGAGTCCAGGGTAACTCCTCGGTTATGGGTTTGCACCAAGTCAATTTTGGGTGGTGGGATACAGATGGGGCTGAAAAATGGTGGACGGTGGTGGTGGAAGATGGTGGGTGGTAGAAGAGGAACGGTAGATCAAGAGACAGGGTGGGGGCTTGAGGATGGTGGATGGTGGATGGTACATGATGGGTGGTGAAGGGTGAGGGTGGTGGATGGTGAATAGTAGGTGATGTGTGGAGGGTGATGGAGGACAGACAATGGATGATGAATGGTGGGTGGCGGATGGTACATAATGGGAGGATATTGGATGGTGATAGTGGATTACAGCTGATGGGAGGGATGGTGGTGTTGGGTCATGGAGGATATCTTTTTCTGATATGAATAACTCATCCTTCTGCCATCACCCTCCACCACCACCACCATCCACCATTTTCTGGCCCCATCAATGTACCACCACCCACAATCCACCTAGGGGTGCAAACCCATAAGTAGGAGTCATCCTAGACTTCTGCCCCTCCCCCCATCAGCTTCCACATACAATCAATTATTGCCTCTGAAAACAGACAACGAAGCATAATCTAAAATGAGGTCAACAGCTCAGTTACACAGACCTGAGAACCTGGCTGCCAAGGTGTGAATGCCAGCTCTACCACCTAAAAGCCATGTGACTTGTCTGTATCAGTTTCCTCATCTGAAAAATGCACCTACCTCACAGAGTTATGATGATTAAATGAGTCAATATTTGTAAAGCACCTAGAACAATACCTTGCACATAGTAAACACTATTTGTTGAACAGGTAAATAAGAGATATGCACCAGATAATTCAACTTATGTCTCTCCTCCTTTCTTACAACATGAATTCCTGTTGGACAGTTCCAGAATAAACAGGCAGCATTTACCATTCTTCCAGGGTGAGAATGTGAAAGATGGAAGAAATGACAGAACAAAAGTATATGCAACTCATTGACACACTGAATAGCTCATTAAAGCTAGATGGCGGGTTGAACGTTGTAGGATCAAACACTAATCTTGAACCACACTCATCCCAAACATTTTTAGCAAGCAACAGATTTCACTTAAGTCTCAACACATGAATGCCTAATAAAGCTTTGATAAAGTTTTATTTTTCAATTAAGCCACCCTAGCCAGAATAAAACAAGAATCAACACATCCTACTCCTGCATAAAGGCTCCTTACTGCCCCGCCTGGTTTTTTTTTTTTCCATAAGACCTAGATTTGTACTGCCTTGGAAGCCTTTGTCACCCAACTTTGATGAGACAGAATAAGAGGCACTGTGATGGCTCACGGAGATGACTCAGGGGTAGGAAATAAACCACACGCATGGACTAAAGGAGGAGTCCACATGTGGACCAGGATCCTAAAAAGGAAGACTGGATGAAAGAGAGAAGGAAATGACAGAGCATGAGATCAGAACAGGAGGAAGGGGAGGGGAGGCAGGGAAGGAATAGGAGAGGGGAGGGGAGGAGAAGGGAGTGAGGGCAGAGAAGGGGGTTCCAAGGCACATCCCCTCACTGCCTACCATGACACAACTCAAGGGCAGAGCAGCAGGATGTGTTTGTGTCACTTTCTCCAGCCCCCATTCCTGCTGTAGATACAGTGGATCTGGTGGAAAAGGTGACTACTACTCTCCCTTCCTCTAGTCCATCCAAATCACTGAGGTTTAGGAATGCTTTCACACTCATATATCCGGCGATTGGTGCCCAAAGTCCCAGGGAAGGCGTAAATCTAAAAGCTTGATTAGAATACAAAATGGTGAAGCTGAAATTCTATGTAGCCAGCTATTGCACACTGGGTAGGATAAAAATGAGATTCAGAGTCACAGCGAGTTATGGGGTGTTGGGCAGGGAAACCCACTGAAGGGTCTTTAGGAAGGCAGATGACTTCATGGGATGACCAAAGCAGATTTAAATACACCTTTCTTCTCCCATGTTTCTGCTACCACTGGTTCTCACTGCCCTACAAATACGACAGGAGGTGTTTGATTTGTTGGCTCTGTTAGCTGTGCATCTTCAAGCAAGCGTCTTATCCTTGCTGAGCCTCAGTTTCTACTTGAGATAGCAAGTGGAGGTGATATGTATGTCCTGGGATTGATAACAAAGGATAAATGGCATGCTTTTATGCCCATGAAAACATGCAGCACAGTGCCTGGCATATATAAGCATTCATGTTAGTTTCCTTCTAACTGTAAGAATCACCTGAGGAACTTGATAAAACTATGGAATTCCAGGTTCAGCCTCAGGAAAATCTGGGTCCACTGGCATGGATGGGGGTCCAGGTACCTGGATGTTAACACATTTCCCAGTAGCAAGGGGAGTGTGCTCGAGGAAAGACAACATGTGAGCTTGTCACTGCAGCTCTAGTCAGATTTCAGAAAACTGAGATGCATTAAAAAGGCTCCTAGTGTTAGGAGGGTGTAACAGATAGTTCATGCAGGTGGAGGCCTGCATAGGTGCACCAATGGGGTTCTACACGCATGTGTGAAGCAACATGTGAGTGTGTTTACGTTGAAAGAGATAGACAGGCCCTTGTGGATGATGAAAAGTTAAGCCCAGAGAACAATTTGGTCAGCTTATAAAAGGTCTTGAATGCTTGCTAGGGAGTACAGACTTCCTTCTCCAGGCCAGATCAGGCAGTAGTCTCAAACTTCGCAATGTTTTTTTTTTTTAATAAATCAGGCTCTAAAATGGAAACTCCAGAATAGAGTTTCTTCAGATAAAACACACTGAATTTCTAAAATGTAATAAATATAATATGTGGAGGTATTTTTAAAAACTGTCCATTCTTTCAACAAATGTTTAGTGACTGACGCCTGAGCCAAAGCCAGATGTTGCGACAGACACGATGGAGTCATTTCTGGGCCCTGACCATGTTTTGAGTATTTTCGTAGGTGCAGTAGGAGGCTGGCAGTCAGCTTTAAACTGGGAGGAGATGCTTCGGGCGCATGCAGAAAAAAGGAAGCTCTGGTAGCCCTGGAGTGAAGGGAGGGATGCAAGGATCAAACTCTGAGTCTATGAAGGCCACAGTCTAAGCAAACAAAAGCTCATTGTAGGGGACATGGCCGCCACAGGCACTGAGCTCCAGGTCTTGGCAGGTCAGCTGGGAAGGTGAGAAAGGGGCAGGTATGGGGTTCACCCGGCAATGAGGAACTTTTGGTGGTTGCCATGACTTTGGCATGATATATCTGAGATGCCTTGAGATAATCATGGGGTCCTCCAGGGCAGCTGGATGTGCAGGCTGAGAGTAAGGAGGCAGCAGAGAAATCGCCAGAGAGTGTGAGGCCAGCAGGCTGAGGTAGAGATGCAGGGGATGTGGCTGACTGTTCTGAGTGATGCTGGGAGTTCCCTGCAGCCTGGATGGAAATATCCCTTACTGGCTATGTGGGTGACCTTCTCAAGTGGTCTGGGCAGTGAGCAGGAGCTGGTCAGAATGCCCCAAGTGGGAGCCAGAGGAAAAGCAATGAGCAGTCTGAGGGACTCAAGTGCACTTCAGGTTCAAAGTGCTCTACCCAGGGCTAGCATTCCAAACGTCTCCTCCCCAGGAAAGGCCAAGGACACAACACAAACGTTATATGGTGCTTGGACTCCAGTAACTACAACTGCGTCCACGTTTGGCTTCTTAATTCTATTTCTGGTGCCACAGTGAACATGAATGTGGACACAGGTGCACTCCTGAACTCAGGCAGGTTCTTTAATATTTCACACCTCTCCTCCACAGTTAGGTTGGGCCATACTCTCTCCAGGAGTCCACCACTGAAATGCTAATGCCTCTGAGAGCACCCCAATGCCTCCGAGAGGGTCCCCAATACGTCTGAGAGCATCCCAATGCCTCTGAGAGAAACTCAATACCTGAGAGCCCTAGTGTCCCTAAGAGCACCCCAGTACCTCTGAGAGTATTTCAACACTGCTGAGAACACACTCAATACTTCTGAGAGTACTTCATTACCTTTGAGAACACCCCTAAACATCTGCGAGCCCCAATGCCTCTGAGTGTCCCAATACCTGAGGGCACCCCAATGCCTCTGAGAGCACCCCGATGCCATTCCATTCTCTACAGAGGCATGTTGGGAGTCAGGAATGGGTACAACTTGGGGATAGTGAGAGGAAGTCTCCCCTGCAAACTGGCTCCTCAGAGGAGCCCTTGGGAGTCACTTGAGTACAAGTTTGGGGTTTGTTGTACCCTCACCTTGAAGAACAGTTCCAAAGCCTTTACTGGCATGTCCTGGTCTCTCCAAGGTGAGCTTGTGCTGTGAAACTCCTCCACACGCTGCCAGGGCGGGACTCAGGCAGCATTTCCCAGCCATGGGGGAATGCCACAGCCAGGCTAGCTGGGAACCTAGGGCCACTTCCTGCCACGGCTCAGCACAGCCAGAAAGACCAGGCTAAAAATGCCACCTCGACTCTGCTATCTCAGAACAAGGTGACTGGAAGAGACACCCCACTTCTGCCACAGTGAGACCCCAATCACAAGAGACGGAGAAAAAGAGAAAAAGATCCATTTAAGTACTTACCTATGATTGAATCCCTCCGGAAAACGTCTCTATCGAAAATGTAAAATGACAGGTGACGAAAACTCCGAGGAATTTCACAGTAAAAGTCTTCTCCATAGAAGGGGCTAGACAAATAAATAGAATGAGCACCATTAGGTTCTGTGAGGTAATGGCCTTGTCTTTTGTCGTCAGGTGCATGGGTGTTGAGGTGGGGCCTCCGCTTAAGCACCGACCTCGGGCACACAAGTGTGTTAATTTCATTTTAAATGTACCACAAACACACTATTCTGCATTCCACTTGTGAGATGTGAAATTGCAGTTTCTTAATTGGGGTAAAAAGGAACTCAAGAGTAAGCAGGCTATAAAAATCTTCACAGATGTGGCCCCAGCACCAGAGGCATGTCACGTTAAATGAATGAACTGCTGCTTTAGCAACAGCTCAGGGAAACCAGAGCTCGGCACACATCACAGCGTTAACAAAATTATGTCTATTGTGGGTGTCCAGTTTCAGCACAAATGCTCCCAAACTGCTAACCATTCTGAAGGTCTGGTAGCAGGGGGCAGGCCTCATTCAGCGTTCCAGTTTCCGACAGTAGTCAGGGTGAAATCCCAATCAGGCAGCCATCTGTGCCTCTGGCGGGAGAGAGGACCCCTCACCCACCACAGCCACCCTCCACTCAGACCCCGAGGCTCATTCACCCACAGAGAGAACCTCAAAATAAACTACAAACTCTAATCAAAGGGCAGGAATCCCCAGATTGTTCTGGATGGGCACGGGCTGGGGTTAGCAGATGCAGGTTCGTGGAAGCCATGGTGAATGTACACAGAACACAGCACCCACCAGACCTGCATCCACTGGTTAGGAAATGAAGCAAATTACTTTAGCACACACACCTTGTGACTACCCTGGAATCTGGAGTGATTCCATTTTCAGGCACATTCATGGCTAAGGTCCAACACAGGAAACATGTAATTGTTCAAGTAAGAACTAAAAGAGTATGTTACATTTTGTTAGGGGAAAGAGGGGTGTATGCTCCTGACCAAGTATGAAAAGGGAGATGGAAAAGAACTGATACCATGAGCATCTACTACTAAAAGTTTATTGTGAGTGACAGACATGACAATAGGAAAGAAATGAAGAGAGGCACCAGTTCCCAACTAAGGGGGCTCCAGGAACATATTTTATCAATTCTGAGATGAACTTTCCCCTCCCACCCTATGTCTTAGCATCTCTGAAATCAGAATGTATCCTCCAATCAATGTCAGAAAGGACTGTTTCATAGATTAATTAGCACTGCCTTTTCTCAGTGGTGCATAAAATAATGGTATATCTCATAATTGACATATGTCACAGATCCCTTAAAATACAGTATTTTTTGGTGACATGATGTGCCATCACTTGATTTGGCGTCATCAGTATCCACTTTCCACCATGCTGTCCCCATGATGAAATAAGGTAATCTCTAGAATACTGAATTCTCCTCATACACAGGCGTGTGATATGTCAGTCAAAATTAGAAAGTTCATGAAGGCACACAGATCGACTTCCAACACATTTTGTTGCTTGAGATCAGCTCAGCATGGCCCAGTAAACCTTGAAAAGAAGGAGCAGATCGACCAACCCTGGAGCTAGCATGAGGCTCCCCAGTGAGGTGAGGCAGCTGTGGGGAAACCGACCAGGAAGGGCGGTGGGAGTGATGCTGGGCCTCCAGGCAGGTTATACGTCAGCCCAGGAGGACAGGCTTGAGGAACAAGGGCATTCGTTCAGGCCTTTGCTCACTGCACCAACCAGGATGGCACTGGACTAAGGGACGAAGGTCACCAGCACAAAGATCTGGAGCTTTGAGGAGCAATGGAGTCATTGGGGAGGCAAGAAGCAAGGAAGGTAGGCACAATGGGCGAGTGAGAACCCGTTCAGATGGGAGGGGAACAGTGTGAAGGAGAGGGAAGCAGCAGGCAAGGAGGGAGTTGAACAAGACTGGGGTCCAGAGTGGGCCCATGGTGGGCACTGCCCACGTGTGGACCTAAAGACAGATGAGTCGGGGAGTGGGGATCAGCAAGGAGCAAAGGGCCAGTAGAGGCAAGAAACTGGCTGGTCTGACAACTCATGTCAGAGACCAGGAAACCAGCCCGTGTGCCAATCCTTCCAGCTGGAAAGGCAATGGACCTAAGACATGCTTGAGAAAGGAACAAAAGGAGAGGGCTCACAGTTTCAGGTTGAAAACTTACTAGAAAACAATAGTAATTGAGACAGCATGGTCCTGGCCCAAGGAACAGAAAGACCCCTACCTCACACCATACACAGAAATTAACTCAATCACACACCTGAATGTAAGGGCTAAAACTATAACACTCTTATAAGGAAATACAGAAATAAATCTTTGTAACCTGAAGTCAGGCAAAGATTTCTTAGATATGACACCAAAAGCACAATCGCCAAAAGAAAAAATATCGATAAGCCAGACTTCATCAAAATTAAAAATATTTAAAATGTTATGTTTTAAAAGACACCATTAAGAAACTTAAAAGGCAGACTGGGGAAAATATGTGCAAATCATATATCTGATAAAAGTAAAAAACACTTACAGCTCAATAAGAAGAAGACAAGTAATTCAATTAAAAATGGACAAGATTTGAACAGATAATATCATCAAAGAAGACAAATGGCCAACAAGCATATTAAAAAAGAAAATGCTCAACATCATTAGCCATCAGAGAAATGCAAATTAATCAACAAGATATCACTCCATACCTACTAGGATAATGATAATAAAAATGATGACCAATAACAAGTATGGACAAGGATGTAGAAAAACTGGAACTCTGGGCCAGCCGAGTGGCACAACGGTTAAGAGCTGGCTTGGGACGCCAGAGGGCCCCGGTTCGGATCCCACATATGAGGGCCAGTGACACTGCCCTCCACAGCTAAGATGCTGAAC